CACAACAGCGACTGACTCCCTTTGTGACAGGGTTGGCACACACGCCTTTCAATCAGAAAGGTGGAAGCGTACTCCCACGCATTCTTCGTAGAAAGACGGAGGCACAATCGCAGGCACTCTAATGCACATGTCAGCAGAACACATGTTCACGAAAAATGAAGCTACGCTCTTCACTCTTGTTACGTACCACGCTCAGCACTCACAGACGCGGTGAAACCGAAGCGCTCTCAAGCACGCAAGCTGTCAAGTGAAGTGTGTCTCTGTCCGCTGAGGACGTTGTTTGCTCTCGAGTCTGCAGCACGCTCTGACCAAATTAAACCTTCAGCAGCAATAGCTTCGGCTTCCAGATTTCTGAATGTCTCCAGTAAGTAATGAACCAGCAATCCAACGGGATCGTCAGACGAGCTGCAAACGCACTGAATGTGCTACCAGCTCATTGCTCGGAACACATCAAGGAACGAGCAGTCACGTCGACAGCAACCCTTGGGTGGACATATTACGGATTGAAACACGCAGTCTGAGTTCATGCTACCTCCTCAGGTCAAACCTGTTCAGCATCTGATCACTGACATCGTACTGACTGTAAGCACAATCGTAATGACCAGCATCAGACTTTGACTGGTGCAGACGCACTTATGAAGAGGAAATCTGTCAGACTGTGGCCCCGATTTGGGCGAATGGCTGGTCAGCCTTGACCAAACAGACTCAGCAGGCAACCCTGCCACAGACAGCGCGGTCAACGAAAACTGTCTTATCTCCACGCCAAGTCTCAAATCCTCTCATCTGAGATTTCACCTTCTATCCTGTCAAATTGAACCTTGCACTCACTCGCAATCAGTCAGACTAGTCACGCAGGTACGTTTACACCCCTCCCGGGGGGCGTCTTCGTTGGCCAACGACCCAGGGAGATCGCTGGCCCCCTGCTTCCAATCTGGCTTTCAAAATCAGACCTTGCACAACAGCGACTGACTCGGTGACAGGGTTGGCACACACACACAAAAGCACAAGTGTGTGTGTGTGTGTGTGTGTGTGTGTGTGTGTCTCTGTGTGTCTCTGTGTGTGTGTGTGTGTCTGTCTGTCTGTCTGTCTGTCTGTCTGTCTGTCTGTCTGTCTGTGCGTCTGTGCGTCTGTGCGTCTGTGCGTCTGTGCGTCTGTGCGTCTGTGCGTCTGTGTGTCTGTGTGTCTGTGTGTCTGTGTGTCTGTGTGTCTGTGTGTCTGTGTGTCTGTGTGTCTGTGTGTCTGTGTGTCTGTGTGTCTGTGTGTCTGTGTACACTCCTGATTGCAAAGGACTAAGTAAAAATGAATCTTGACGACTCTTTCGAAAGAGGGTGCGGACCTGTCTGTGTCGGCAGGAATTCTGACAAAGTGCCTGTCGTGGGGGCCACCGGCCTTCATTGGATGCAAGCATGTGTCTTCGGCAATTGTGAGTGTGTGAGTGTGTGAGTGCGTGAGTGCGTGAGTGCGTGCGTGCGTGCGTGCGTGGGTGCGTGGGTGCGTGGGTGCGTGGGTGCGTGGGTGCGTGGGTGCGTGGGTGCGTGGGTGCGTGGGTGCGTGGGTGCGCGGGTGCGTGGGTGCGTGGGTGCGTGGGTGCGTGGGTGCGTGGGTGCGTGGGTGCGTGGGTGCGTGGGTGCGTGGGTGCGTGGGTGCGTGGGTGCGCGTGTGCGCGTGCGTGCGCGTGCGCGCGTTGCGCGCGCGCGCGCTGCGCGTGTGCGCCGCGCGCGTGCGCGCCGCGCCGTGCGCGCGTGCGGCAGTGCGCGCGCGCTGCGCGCGCGGGCGTGCGCACCCACGCACCCACGCACCCACGCACCCACGCACCCACGCACCCACCCACGCACCCACGCACACGCACCCACGCACCCACGCACCCACGCACCCACGCACCCACGCACCCACGCACCCACGCACCCACGCACCCACGCACCCACGCACGCACGCACGCACGCACTCACGCACTCACGCACTCACACACTCACACACTCACAATTGCCGAAGACACATGCTTGCATCCAATGAAGGCCGGTGGCCCCCACGACAGGCACTTTGTCAGAATTCCTGCCGACACAGACAGGTCCGCACCCTCTTTCGAAAGAGTCGTCAAGATTCATTTTTACTTAGTCCTTTGCAATCAGGAGTGTACACAGACACACAGACACACAGACACACAGACACACAGACACACAGACACACAGACACACAGACACACAGACACACAGACACACAGACACACAGACACACAGACGCACAGACGCACAGACGCACAGACGCACAGACGCACAGACGCACAGACGCACAGACAGACAGACAGACAGACAGACAGACAGACAGACAGACACACACACACACACACAGAGACACACAGAGACACACACACACACACACACACACACACACACACTTGTGCTTTTGTGTGTGTGTGCCAACCCTGTCACCGAGTCAGTCGCTGTTGTGCAAGGTCTGATTTTGAAAGCCAGATTGGAAGCAGGGGGCCAGCGATCTCCCTGGGTCGTTGGCCAACGAAGACGCCCCCCGGGAGGGGTGTAAACGTACCTGCGTGACTAGTCTGACTGATTGCGAGTGAGTGCAAGGTTCAATTTGACAGGATAGAAGGTGAAATCTCAGGTGAGAGGATTTGGGTGCGCGTGTGCGCGTGCGTGCGTGCGTGCGTGCGCGCGTGCGCGCGTGCGCGCGTGCGCGCGTGGCTCGCGCGCTCGCTTAGCGCGCGGGCTCGCGGGCGCGGGGGGCGCCGTGCGCGCGGGGGCCGCGCGCGCGCGTGCGCGCACGCGCCGCCGTGCGTGCGCGGCCGCTGGCCGCGGGCGCGGGCGCGGCGCGCGCGCGGGCGCGGTGCGCGCGGGGCGCGCGTGCGCGCACGCTCGCGCTTGCGCGTCGCTTGCGCTTGCGCTTGCGCGTGCGTGCGTGCGCGTGCGCCGCGTGCGCGTTGCGCAATGCGCGGGCGCACGCTCTGTGTGTGTGTGTTGTGTGTGTGTTTGTGTGTGTGGTGTGTGTGTGTGTGTGTGGTTGTGTTGTGTGTGTGGGTGTGTGGGGGTGCGTGTGTGTCGGTGTCCGTGTCCGTGTCCGTGTCCGTGTCCGTGTCCGTTGAGGTCTTTGATAAAGCTTTTTCGGTCTCGATTGGCATGACATGCATGTTATGTAGGAGGCCATATTTCGTTGGTTTGGTTGGCGGGTTCCCGCTTGCCCGGATCGCCGGTATCCTTTTAAAGTTGTTCACACACGCCACACCATGGGCAACCTCAAGCAGGTGGCAGCCCAAAACGCCAATCTGCTTGTAATACCGACTTGTAGAAAAGATTCTGAACATTTGCCATGGTTTGGCGAGATCCTCCTGAAACGAAACGTGTTGACAATACCATGGTCAGTACAACCTGTAGTGGCAATGCAGTACAACAACACCCAACACCTCCATGAATCTGAGGCTGAAGCCAGCAAAACCATAGTCCACATGAGGCTTCCCATAGTACTCACAATGGAGAAGATCAAGCCTCGAAGAGCACTGACATATCTGAGAAGCCTGATTACCCGAAAGCCTCTGAGCGCGCGGATCACTCGAATGAAGCGCAGGGAACGGATGTGGACCATCTGGGTGGCAAGTGATCCGTGAGCAAACATTTCGATCAAAGCCTCGACAAGGGATGTAATGATGATGCCGACGTCGAACATGTTCCACCATCGCTCAGGACCACAACAAAAGTCACTCAAACCAAGACCAACCAGCTTGAGCAGTATTTCAGCACAAAATATGCACACAATGACAAAGTTGAGAACGTTGAACCATCGCGGTATATCGTTCTGGCCGCGGGTTGTGCCCATGTCTACCTCAATGCCAAGAAAAACCAGATTTATCAAGATCAAGGCCAGTATAGCATTTCCAAGCAGGGGGGAAGTGGCCAGCTCTTTGGCGCGACCTCGGAAAGAGCGAGCTGAAAAGCACCGCCATACCTTCTTCTGGTTCTTCGCCTCTAGCGCGGCTGCCTGAGCCCTCCAAATGGCTTCCGACTCCACATTCTCCACAAATGTGGTGCGAGAGAGATCACGTGTGTAACCACTCTTGTCACCTTTAGCCATCAGCTTCGAAGGCCTACTCTCAACAGCCAAGTCTAAGTTCTCGGTCTTCCCCGGCTGGAAGTTCACGGTAGGCAACCTGTGCATCAGACACGTTCAGAGTGAGCCAAGCTGCTACCAGGGATGCCGTGTGCAGTGCTGCAGCTGGGTGATACAGCATATCCCGGCTACAACAAACTCAGCACCCCGATTCTTCGAGGCTTGCTCGCTTCCAGGTGGTTTAGTTTTAAGGAAGCTGGACACACGCGACCTTAAGAGGACGCCTGGGCCAGGCAGAAGGAGCAAAAGCATTCCTCCAAAGCGGAAGGAAAAAAACTGTCACAGGCGAGCGGCTTCGTGAGTGGTGCTTCGCCGACTCCTTGAAAACCAGCTCCGCGACCATCCAACTTCGCTGCCTTTACGCGAAATTCTCGCTTGCAATTCTTCGCCAGGAAGTGCCTGATTGCTGCGAGTTCACCATGAAAGTGCTTTGCCTGGTAAGAGAGCTCTTGTAGAAGCTCTTTCTGACTGCTCAACTGGAGTTTCACATCTTCGCGAAACTCCCGAATTGCTATGTGCGTCTGTCCAGTCTGCGCGGCGGAGCAACACTCAATCGACGCTGCCATGGCTCCGAGGGAGACAACACACGCTGCTATGCTTGAGCCAGGCAACAAGTCACAACCGAAACTGCAACCGAGCACTCGCCCCGGCGGTGTGGTGGTAGCACCAGCAAACATCATGATGCGCAAGAGTAGAAGCAGTACTAGCACTAGAAGTGATAACAATCGTAGTTGTCGTAGCAGAGGTCGTGGTCGTAGTCGTGGTGGTAGTGGTAGTGGAGTAATAAGTCAGATGTGTGACTTTGCAGCTTGCGTGGCGCAGCGGCCAGCCGGAGGGTCATGAGGGTAACACCCGCGGTGCCATGCCAGGGTTAAGGTTGTGGCAAGGTCAAAGGCTTCTTGTGGGAGCCGTCGCCTGCAACGTTTACATCAGGACACGTCAGCGACTCCATTCATCACCGCGCAGGCAAAACTGCAAGCCGAACCAGCGTGCAAGAACATGCATGAGCACTGCTTATCACTGCTTCTAGTGGCAGAGTCTGGTCGAACCCAAACATGGAGGCGTCCTGCAGTAGAGATCAGCTGCTCTGACAGCCCGATGATGCCATGCAAAGGAGACCTGCGCGCATGGAATCCGGAACCCGATCATCAAGCTATTCAGTGTACAGTGTGGACTGTGTACGAGCGCGGAAAGCACGATCAAGGTGAGGTGCCTTAGCTCATGAGTCACGGCGGCAGCCATGTTCGACTTCTTGACATCCAACTCCTGCCAGCCAGCCGCGGTATATACGACTCATCCATAGCATGTAGACGGCGGCTTTATACATCAACGCACGCTAGAACCATCTAGGTCTGGAAGTCTCACTGAGCAGGGAAGATTGATTATCCCGCGCATCCTTCATTTCTGTGATGTCCTGCCCGATGCATATAGCACCTTTGGGCATGCCATCGCCTCACCAACCGTCATGCAAACGTCAAGGACGCTATTTCGATTCTAGGGCTGGTTCTTCTTTGCTGCGCTGTGCAATTCCGGGAGCCAGGCTCCCAAGACGAGGGGTGCAGCTCAGCAGCAGGACGACGTAGTCCTGCTTAGTGTTTTGCAAACCTTCCTAGGTTTTTGCCTTCCGACAACCTCGAACGACGCCACGCGCCGTTCGTTTTGATCTCAGGTCCAAGCCGGTGAGCGCGTCGTGTCGAGCAGCACCTGCATTGTCGCACAGTACGCCGCAAACTTCCATGCCTTCGAGAGGCGAGCCTCCAAGTTCGCTTTTGACTTCCGCTCCTCCACCACCTCTTTCAGAACGCGGGCCACCTGCCCCACAGACATTAGACAGCTTTTTGGGCATCGGGAAGGGGTGGGGAAGGGGGGGGGGGGGTGGGGTGGGGTGGGGGCGCCGGGATGGTTGGCGGCGACACGGAAACAAATGTCCTTCTGAGTGTCCCTGCTTGTATCCCTTAACCAACTACATCGGCTGCACCGTGTTTCACAATCGTTTATGACGTACAAGCTTCACATGCGTAAACTACAAGAAAAAATTACATTATTGAGATTGTATAGCATACAATAAGAACACATACTGTAGATAAACTGCACCTGCTTCAAGCAAGGGTTTTTTTCGCCGAGCCGGTGGAGCACCGGGCCAGCAGACGACCCCGCACCCACCCCCCAAACCCAGAAAAACATACCCCAAAACAGGCCCTCATCGTTCAAAGGCATTTCCAAATCTTCGCACAACAACCGTGTGCCGGGGCGGCTGCACTCTCCGAAGACAAGATGATAGCTCACGAGGCAGCAGTGTGCCCGACTTTTGCGTACTCTCAGCGTCAAGCTCTCAACCTTTGTGAAACTGGAGGCAGCGCTGTCTTAGTGCCAGCCCCCCGTCGCCTAGTCATGGCCGCGGCCGTCTTCCACTGCAAGTTCGAACAAAGATTCTGCAAGCGGTGCAAAGAGGCTGTCTCCTAGGTGTTGCAAAGAAAGCCAGGCAAGAACCGATTGCGGATTCGCTGAGCGCAACACTGCGCACCACGTCTCAGAATCACGGTCGAGTTGCATGGGAAACCGTTGCCCCTCCGGCACACTAGTCGGAAAACGTGCACCACCAAAGACCTTGGGAGGCCTGGAGAATGCACAAACCTGGTGTACAGGCTCTTGCGATCTTGCTGCCATGAGCCTTGGGCAGCATGGCACGACTTCTAAATTCTGCTTCTTCACGAATGCGCAGAGTACATCTCTCAGTAGAACGTGAGCATAATCATCATCGAGTTCATCAGCACTAAGCGTGGTCACGGTCAGGGGTGCTTTTCTGCCATGTTCTTAGCAGGTGGCGAACTTGAATGTGTGGGCAAAGGCGGCAGATCAAGTTTAAAGCCTTATGCGCTTGGAGAAGCAGGTGGAGTACGCCACTGATACTGCAGTTTCAATTTCAAGCCAGATCTAAGCTGACTGGAACTGACTGAATTATTCCTTCTCACAAATGCTCCTGTTCCATAGCTTCATCTGTGGAGATGATACCTGGGAGCAGATTGCATCCGAAAACCCAGGGCTTGAGTCTCACTCCTCGGAAGCACCATCTGCCACCAAGGCACGATACTGCGCGTGGCTTCTGTGGAACAGGCGCCATTTGTCTAAGAGCTCGGGATCCTTGATCTTGTAGCCATGGTCCTCACCTGCAGCCGGTGGTCGAAGAATTGAACCATGTGAAGCTGGCTTGTTGTCAGCTGCTCAGGCACCCAAAATAACATCAAGGATTCGCCGCAGAAGGTTCAGAAATGTTCAGAATCTGTGTTTGGCCTTTCGGCACACGAGCTCAGATTTGTGGGCTTGCACGGCGCGTGCTTTCCTTCTAGGTCAGTTGAACTATTTTCGGGTGCATGTGTCATGCTGGTTCAATGTCTCCCGAAGTCCATTGTGGTCCTAAAAACCGAGGGCCCTGCAGAACTCCAGCTTGATGTTTTCAAGCACAATCTGGTTCTCATTCATGAAGGCATCTAGTAGCATCTTGAACGTCACCGGGAAGTGCTGCACCTGGGACTCGAGAAGCCGCATCACAAGGCCTGAACGCCCTAACTGGGACCACGACCACGGCTTTCTCCCATGGAAGGGCTGTGCCAGAGATATGGCTCACCAGCTCCATCTGACCTCTGACACGCGTCATTGTGACACATTCCGGAAAGCAAGTGGAAGAGTGCGATCAAGCGCGCTTACGCAGGACAGTTGCACAGTGAAACCACTCATCGGTCCCATTGCATGAGAAGCTGTGGCCGCAACTATCCTTGCAATGCAGCTCCTGCAGGGTGTCACCAGAGTCTTCTGTTCTAACTTGCGGTTGTTTTTGAAGCAGCACCATACCCATTGATCAAAGTCAGCACAGTGCATTTTGCATTGGGTGCGCAACCTTGAATTGCACCAGGTGGGGAAGAATGGCAGCACGCAGGGCTGTGTCCACATCATGTTCGAACGACTTGTCCTGCGGAGCGGCATAATGCGGGCACAGCAAAAGGTCAGCACCAGATCCAGAGGCAACATTGGCAACACAATTGGCATTGTCTGTCCATGTATTTCCCTAGCTGATTGAAAACAGAGCCCCCTTCTTCGCCCAAGCACCTACCTCGAACCTTTCCAAGTTCCTCTCATTGCCAGTGCACATAAAATATTTGCAAGAATCTCCGCGTTTGGCCAGTGCCAACCGGGCGAGTTTGCTTCACTGGATGTTGGATTGGTGATTCGTCATCTGATGCTTGGAAAACGTACATGCCTCGCAGTGCAAACCGTCATCTGCTCCTTGTAATGATGGTACGGGTCATCGTATGCATCTCGGAAATCGAACATCATCTGGCTCAGATCTCGCCTGACATGTCGCTGTATCAGTACTAGCACCCCAGACCTGCAAACTGCACGTTCCCGAGTGCTTACTCTGATCACAAAAGGTTGCAACTGCTTCGCTTCTTGCCTTTCCACGTGAAAGCGGTAGATGCCGTCATATACGCAATCTGCTCGCTTCAGAAGCATCCGCCGCACTCCGCAGCCCAGCACCTCCCACTTGGCGAGGGGCTACAATAGAGTTGCTCATGCAGTTCCATGCAGTGCTGCCAGATCTGTCATCGACTACATGCTGCGCCCATTATTTCTCGCCTTCTCGTTGTCGGGGGAGGGCAGACTCAAAATCAGAGCTTTCCAGTTCATGTCTGGCTCGTGCACATGAACTTCCTCCGGCAAAGAGTGGCAGCTAGTCTCCACAACTTCGCAAGAGACACAACATGCTAAGTAAGTTCAGGAGGAGGTCCTGCAGAGGTGGATCCTGCGACATGCAAATCCGATGGTACTTCGTGTACAAGGCCTGGCACTGAAAAGGAAGCAAGATGGAGCAAGCCAAAGCCACCCTCTGTTACCAACTTCCCGCCGTTACTCAGCTAGACCGCATTTTTTAACTTTGAACCTCCATGGTGCTCGCGGTTGGTTTCCGCAAGCCTGAGAGCTGAGCCTCGCAATCATGGGAACATCAAGACACAAACCTTCAAACAGTTCGAAAGATTCGAAACACAACAGCTACAGCGGCTAGCTTCCAGTCCTTCATCTCCGCGACGGAGGGCTTCCCTGCCCGTGCTTTCCTGAAGGAAGAGCAAGGTAGGAGCATGCCCATGAGAAGTTAGCAACACTATGAAAGAAGTCCACATCATCAAGTCGCTAATTCGCTTAGAATTCGCAAAACTTAGCAGCTTATTCTTTCGCACGCAGACGAAGCAAATTCCAAGACTGCAGCGACCCAACACAAACTCGGCAAACGTGGAGCAAGGTGCAGTGAGCTTGGCATGGCGGGGATCGTGAGGGCGGTGAGGGTAGCCCTCCCTGTGACCCGCAGGAGCCGAGGCGGCTTCGCTGACGAGCAAGAGTTTTGAGAATGTCATGGACAACGATTCGAACAGATTTGAATTGTAGCTTCATACCATTTGGTCTCAAAACAGGTGTCGCACTTCTTTTTTGTCGCGTGGCGTGGTGAATCGGCTCTGTCTTCTGAGCGTAGCATCACGATCTACGTACAAAATATGTAGCCTCCACTCTCATTTCTCGGCCTTCTGAACAAGTGCAAGTGGTGGCAACGGAGCCGGAACATCAGGGGAGACCATGGCCATTGCGTGGTAAGCACCCTGCTCTGCCTGCTGCGAATAAGATGGCAGACTTCCATCGATGGACTTGGCAATGTCAAGGTACTTCGTGGCCCGCTCATCATTCTCCGCCGCAGTAGCCATGAAGTCCTGAGCTCTCGTATGCAAGTTGCTGGCTTTCCGTTCTGCCTGTGGGCTCCGTACCGTCTGCCAGGCGCGAGCCTCCTCCTCAAGGGATTGTGCGTTGCGCTCCGCCGTTAAGGATGCCTCTGCAAGCTCCTTACCTCGAGAGGCATACGCATCGCGCACCTTCACGGCGCTCTGCATGGCATTGGCCCACGGTTTCATGCCTTCTCCTGCAGCTCTGGCGGTGGCCAAGACTTGCTTCTTCTGAGCCTCCTCAGACTTCGACGCTGGAGCCAAGGCTTTGGCCTTTGCAGCAGCCCTTGCCGCCTGTTGCATCTGGGGGAGAACCTCCTTGAGCACCCCAAATGCTTCGGCGTGGGCTTCACGCCTTGCCATGTCGAGCACCTGATGGACCTTCTCCTCCGTGTTCATGGCCATGACTGCCGCTTTCCGGGCATCTTCCTCTGCACGCGCTGCTTTCGACACAACGGAGAAGCCTGCATAGCTGGCCTGTTGCACAGCCTTGGCCTCCTCCTCGGCCTTGCTGGCTGCAAGCTTTCCTTCTGACATCACCTTGTCCATGTCCGTGCCTTCCAGTGAAGCCCACGCCTTGGGTGCTTCAGGCTTTGACTCCTTCGGCTCCCGAGCCAAAACGGTCTGCCAGGACTTCTTCCTGAGGAAGTGCACGCTGGGCTTCGGCAGACGGATGTTGCCTGCTCCGTGCGATGACTTTCTCTCCTCGAAGGACATCGGTCGACACGCGTCACCAGCTCGCAGCTCTTCGTGGCTTGGCACACACTCCATGAAGCAGAAACGCTCGGTGTCTAAGAAGCTCTGTGCTGTGTCAATCGTGGCGTCATCTGCATGCTTGGCACACAAGCTGCCACACGTTGGCGCCGTTGCGGCTCCGGCCTGGGAAAAGCTGCACTGCATAGCTCCAGGAAATTCTGGTTCACGGCTGGCAGAAGTCTCACAACAGTCGCAGCTGCAAGAGCTTCGACTTGCAGCTAGAGCCTGTCTTTCCAGCACCATTGCCAGCAGCAGCAGCTGCGCAGGCCGCTTCATTTCGGAAACTTTGTTGCCCCTTCCCCTTCTGTAGTTACGACGGAAAAGGCGCGCTGAAAGCCGGATGCGGCCAAAACGAGAAAGGATGCCGTGCGCCAGTTGCAACAACAAACTGAACTCTGAAACCCCCGAGTCTTTCACTACAGAGCATGCTGACCTCCATGCGGCGTAGTCAGCATCTACATCGACGTGTCTGCATTGCCAGCGCCTCGGGTGTGCAGTTCTCCTTTATATAGACCAGAAGGTCCTGGCAATCTGAATCTGGACGTTCTCTTATGCGTCTCTCGCCGGAAAAGCTTGCGGCACAGCCACGCCAAAATCGTGTCCTTGCCAGCAGCCTGTTCTGAAGTGATGCCGGTCATCTCCTCCACCCGATTGTTCCACCTCGTGCCAGGAAGCTCTTCATTCAGACTCCCGGGTTGGCCCAGGCTTGGGCAGTTAGAACATTTAGAATGCTCAAGTGAGCCCCATAGTACAATTAATGACCAAGCACAGAAATCTCAGGGAGCTCCTGGGCAACACTGGCATAACTTTTTTTTAAGGATGGTCAAGCCACTTTAATGTAGTTAGCTACATTATATGCAGAGCTCCTGCTACTACGAGACGCAACTTTCTGGGATGCCCGGCTCGGTGATGCGATTATTGCGGTCCACCGCAATGATCGGGGCTGCAGCCTGGACCCCTTCGAGTTCTCCCGCCGTGTCATGATTCAGCTTCTACGAGCCAGCAACCGACTCTCAAACTGCGACTACGTGACGCAAACCCTCCTTGAACAAAGGTCCTCCTGCTGCTACACTGTGGTTCGGGCCGAATGTATGATGCTCTGCAACTCTGTGGCCATTCGAACTGCCTGCGATGCAAAACGACTCCGGCTCTGGTTTGCAAGGTCGACTTGAACAGGCTTGAATTGACAAACCAAGAGCCTCACGTGTCCTCATGTGTCTGCAGGCAAACAGAAGGTGCTTTGAGGCCTCCTGCTTCTGCCGGTTCATCTCCGTGATATCCTGACAGAAGTATACACTCGACAAGCTAACTCGGGCACGAGGTGGCGCAGCAAAATCTTTGTCCTGGCCAACTCCAATGACACCGATGACCTCACCGTCCCTGGCGCCAGGACGAACCGTTGCAACAGTCTGACAATGTGCAGGCAGATAGGAAGAAACCGCGCGGCGGGCCCGAACGCACGTAGGGACGACGGCGCGACCCACCGAAAAGAATCACAGTCTAGCCACTAGCGGATACAATCATAATCTGCACGAACAATACGAGCCGTAGAGCAAGCAGCAACAACAACCACCACAACAACGGCAGCACCACCACCACCACCACCACCACCGCCGCCGCCGCCACCACCACCACGACCACGACTACGACCACGACCACGACCACGACCACCACCACAACCCCTTTCGACCTCGACCTCGACCACGACGGCGACGACGACGACGACGATATCAACATCTGCTCTGACTCCTTGTGTTCCGCATCTCCGAAGAGAAGGCACTCAAGTATCGTGAGCGAGCAAAACCATGGACGAGGTCCATGCGGAGAGGGAAAGGGGAGAGCGAGAGAGAGAGCGAGAGAGAGAAAGAGAGAGAGAGAAAGAGAGAGAGAGAAAGAGAGAGAGAGAGAGACTATGTTTCGCGCAGCATTTTCTCCAGCGAATGTCAGCGGTTTCTTCGGCCCACAGCCTACAGCACTCAAATGCACGGCATCCATGGCTATCTAAAGTTTTGCGGAGGTTTCTGGGGCATTGATTGCAGCAATGCGGTACAACTTCTTGTTCTGCTCTCCGACGCATCATGGCCAGCTGAGCGTCTCACGTCCTAAATCATGGCTGCCGATCCTGGCACTCACTGATGGCTTCCTTTCAAAGCAGCTTGAAACTGCTTCGCCTGCTGCAGAGACGAGAACGCAACAGACAAAAAGAACGGGCGAACTGGGAGAAGGGAACATGGCTACAGGATGCTGCAGGAGCTCAGCCGCAAACTTCATTTTCACAGAGGTGGCACCGCAGTCGGATTTATGTTTTTCGTCTCGCCGCTGCGAGTGTGCTTCTGGAGCAAAGTCTCGCTGTCCCTTTTAAACTCACACGAACTCATCCCTTTCAAAATCATAAACCCTTGGGCCGTGTTAAGAGAGCAAAAACACGCTTCGACTGTTCCCGGGGGGGGTGGGGCACACACAAAAGCATGCCCAACAACATGGGTGAGGAAGTATCTCTGACTGAAGTGAAGTGAAGTTGGAGTAGCACATACTCTGCAGCCCATGCAAGGGAGTCATGCATTCGAATCTCAGATCTCATGAACTATAAATGCCGCTTGCAAGCATCCTGCAGTATGCACGGAAAACTAGCAACGAATACGACAACCAAGTCAACCAACAACGTGCAGCAACATATGCGGCGCAATGACTCAAAAACCCTTGAAACCAAAAGGTCTACATTTCTGCGTGCTCTAGCTGGCACGTATGCTCACAGAGAACGCTTTTGTGCTGCGTGTGGTTTTCCAGCTTCGTGTGGCGCAATAACCCGGCGGCCCTCTTTGGAGCCAAAGCATGGTCCAGCCATGCTCATTCGGCCGGGTCCTCCGCGTGGATCATCTGGCTTGCGAAGGCTGTCTAAGACATGCCATGATGCCCCGACACTACTACGAAATACTACGAGGATCTACGATGTGCACGTTTTCGCGCACGATGAGAACTGCTGAATTCAAATACTCAGACTGCATGGGGAGAACTCGGGACGCTTCCGGCTCAGCAGCCTGCTTCATCGCTTTTTTCAACTCATCCAAAGCTGCGGCTTTGCACCTGCAGAGATGGGTGGATTGGAAAGATGCCCTGGTGTTCATCATCAGCCGCACGAGTGCGGGCCTTCCCCCTGCAACCACTACTGGCCGGACGGGCTGCCAGTTTTGCAAGCGCTGGGCTTCGCCTCCCGGTGCCAGGGCGAGGAACCAGCTGGCTGGCGGACACGGCCAGGCCCGGCGAGCCGTGCAACCCTTCTTGATCTGAGCTACTATCAACAAGAGCCTGGTTCTGGGATGACCTGCCACAAGTTCCGGCATGGGCTGGCAGGTGGTCTTGCAATCCTTCAAACAGGGTCTGGCGCAGAGTCCTGATCGGCGTACGGAGCGCGGAGCCTTCAGTAGCTGCCCGCTTAATGGGGTTTTCTCTGAAGCCCTGGTTTCGAACCTGCTCTGTCCTAACTTTAACTTGTGCCTCGGCGGTCTTGGTTCTTCGGAGGGATTGTGGCGCAGTCTCTGGGGCCTTGGACTTGCGCATGTTTTGCGGGCGCGCACCATGTGTCGGACTCGATGCTGGAGATGGCCTGTTGCTTTGTAGCGTTGGTGCTGAACCATACCGCATGACGAAGAGCGGTGACGGCCCGTGGTGCAGATCCAGTGCGGCTTCCACAGCCCCGACAGGATATGCGGCTAGGTCATGTAGAGTTTGCATGAAAGCTGCCGCTGACCTGTTCAGCAACAGCAAGTGCGTTTCTGCATAAGCTTGCATCCGCCGCAAAGCATCCCGGTATAGTCTCTCAAACACATCTCGCCCAGCGATGAAATCTTTCAATCCTGATTGCGACAATGCTGCTGCCGCCTCCTTGCCCAAGCCGGCTCTTTGTAGCAAAGCCTCCAAGGCCTTAAGCTTGTCGCGAAGCTCAGAAATTATGCTCCCGGCCTTCCTGGCCTCCGCCTCGAGCTTGCGCATGGCCTCCTCGGCACGAAGACGCTGCCGCTCCGCCTCGTCACGTGCGGCCTGGAGTTCTGCATCGAGGCCGGCACGCATCCGACTAAGCTCGGCCTGGAACTCGGAGCTCCTTCCGCCGTTGTCTCCGCCAAGGTCCCCCTGACCTTCTTTGCCATCTTTGCCCTTTGGCAGGACCATCGCGGCCGTGGTGTTTACACCCACCGAGTTGGTTAGGCCGTCCCCTTTGTCGGCGCGGTGCGGCAGATTCTGAATAGCCTGAACGATGTTTCCAAGCTCAGCGCTTCCTGAAGCGAAGTGCTCACCAAGCTGCAGCAGCTTCGGGCTCAGCTCTCCAACAACTCGCTGAGAAGTAGCTTCCAAGGCCTTCTGCAACAGGTGGAGCTCTTCATGGGAAAGAACGGCCGCCACATTCTCCATCCGAGTAAAACGAGGGTCCAGCGCAGGCAAAGCTACGATCGCTTGCACAATGCCTTGGAGGTCCGAGCCATCTGCGATACTTTCGCCAAGCTGTAGCAGCAGACCGCTGAGCTCACCAGCCACGCGGTCCGCCGAAGCAGCCAGTGCCGTTTGCAACAAGCCCAACTCACCTCTTCCCATGCCAGACCGCTCTGCATGCTCATCTTCGGACTCGAAGCCAGTACCTTCTGCACAGCATTGCACGTTCATACATACATTCCGCATACTACCATATGCTGAGAACAGATTTCTTCTGCCGAGCGACGTCTCAGTGACCGGGTACTTGCCATTTTGGTAAGCATCCTGAGGTGGAAGTTTCAGCTCACTCCCATGGCAGTACGGCTTCTAGTCGGGCTTCCATCGTGAACTGCGGCACAGTCTGCCAGGAACACAAACGGTCGTAGAACACCTAGAAGCCTAATTAGAATGAAAGTCCGAGACGTGGGGACAGGAATATCATATCGAAAGCGAAATGTTGCTGAGGACGGCTCTTGTCGTTGGATTGCAGCTCATCGAGTTCATCCTGTAGTGGCTTCAGGTACCTCAGCCAGCATAAGCATCTTAAATCCTGCGATGGCGCACATGTGCTTTCAACATCAGCAATGGCAAGCCTCTTCACATGTCAGGGCCGATCTTTAGACGAGGATTTGCAGGACTGACCCAAGACGGTCTGTGAACATGGTTATTACAAGCCTGGTAAGCATAGTGAAGTCATCGACCTCCTTTCAAGACAAGGCTGAAGATCTGCTAGCACGGAGGTCTTCACAGGTCTCGCATTCACGTATCTCTCAACATGGTGAGCGAGCAGAACTACGTAAGGACGAAGGACAGAACAACAAATTTGCTAAAGGACGAAAGCAGTACTAGAAAAGTCAGCCAGGTGAAAGTTGTCAAGTTCAGCTGCGATATGCTGCGATGTTCAAGCAACAAATGTCTTCCAGATGGCAGTTTTCAGTAGTCTCTGTTTTGCGCAGATGCTTTTGAAGCCTGTGACCTTGCTTGCTTTGCTTAGCCAACAAAATATTCGATCTTCTCGATGGCCGACACCGCAACAACAACCCGGCTGGGAACCTAAAGTCGCTTCATCTGTTCTTGCAGATCAACCAACCCGAGTGCATCAATGGGCTTGGAATGGCCTGGATGGGCTCAGTGCTGCGTGGAGATTTCACTCTTGTGCATATCTGATTCACCTACGTTGGGGGAGCCTTCCGTGCCACAGCCCTCTGTGCATCGGTTCCTGTGTCATTGAAATCTGAAGCCTAGCGGCTTTTCCTCCCACTCCTTGAACATGTCGTCCACTTCTCTTTGGCTGTAGATTTTCACGTCCTGAGGCACATGTTTTGATCAGTGTCCCGGGTTCATGGCGAAAGCACGTTCCACTCAACTGCAAGTAACCTGCATAAAGCACAGCAAACGTTTGATTGGGAAGTGTTGGCTGAGGTCCATAAACCCTGAACCCTAAACCCTAAACCCTAAACCCTAAACCCTAAACCCTAAACCCTAAACCCTAAACCCTCAAGGTGTGGTCGCGCCTGCTCATCGAGGTTGATACCAAGAACAGCCTCTGCTCGGCGCCTCATCTTCTCCTCATTCCATCGGTCTTCCATCACCTTGCGCGATACCGTACTAATTGCTTAAGAATCCCCAAAAAAAATTCAAAAACAAGTCTTCCGGATTATTGTATTTATTCTTTTGGGGTTCTTAAGCAAATAGTAGTACCAGCGTGGTCATGCACCATTCTACGTGCAGCTCTCCACTCAAGTGAAGTGCTTCATAGGTCGCAGATCATGCTGAGCATAGGTCACGTCTTCTTCTGGATGTGAGGCCGTACAGTAGTATCCATGAATACATTGGATACAAACGAATACATATGACACGAAATGTGTTTCTTCCCTCTTGCTCAGCAAGTCCTTAGGCACGGAGCTTGACCCTGT